TTTTTATCATGCCAAACGATTGGACTAAAAATACTCCTCCAGTGTATATGGCGGCAAAAAATTGAATGGGATCAGGAGCTACCTGAGAGGATTCTAGAAGAATGGCGCCATTGGAAAACCATTTGGCAAAACATAAGGACTTTCGAGGTCGCTAGATGCTTTTCCCCAGCCACATCGGAGCCATGTCAAATTGGACTCCATACATTCGTCGACGCCAGCGAGCAAGCATATTCTGCAGTCTGCTACTTGCGCGTGGCAACGGATGACAGAGTCGTCGTATCTTTGGTAATGGCGAAATCTAAGGTGGCACCTTTAAAACCACCTTCGATTCCGCGTATGGCGCTGCAGGCAGCAGTTATGGGAGCACGCTTAGCCCAAAATGTGATGAGCACACGCAACCTACGAATTGACAACGCCACATACTGGTCGGACTCCAAGACAGTGTTGCAGTGGCTAACTATGGACCCCCGCAACTTTCATCAGTTCGTGATGCACAGAGTCGCCGAAATTCTGGAAACAACACTGGTCGAGCAATGGCGGTGGATTCCTTCAAAGCTGAACGTAGCAGATGGAGCTACCAAGGTCACCGGGCAAACTCAACAAGAGACGTGGATAACGGGCCCGGAGTTCCTGAAGACCGATGCGAGCAACTGGCCAAGATCCAAGAAGCAGGAGAGCATCATCGATACCTCGAAGTTCCGGAAGCATGTGATGACGACGCATACGAAATCAGTGGTTATGTTCAACGCGAACGATTTCTCAAATTGGCGGCTGTTATACAGAGCTGTGGCGCTAGTACTCCTGTTCATTGATCGGCTGCGAGCGAAATGTGCCGGACAAGACATGCCACCAACCACGACAATGGCTCATGTGAGCAAGGCAAAGATGCTGCTATACAAGCAATCTCAATTCATCGCCTTCGCAGCAGAACTAAAAACGTTATCCGCGGGAACGGCGCTTCTCAAGGGAAGAAGATTGGCTGGATTGAACGCGTACCTGGACAACGATGGAGTACTACGAACTAGAGGCAGATTGAACGCAGTTGACATAGCTGAGGACGCCATCATTCTAGCTCATGGATGCCGGATAACCAACCTCATAGTTAGGAGCTTCCACGAAAACCGGCTACGAGTACTGCACAAATCTGTGCGAAACACATGCCAACGATGCAAGATCGACAGAGCAATTCCCAGACCACCCCAGATGGCACCGATCCCGATGGCAAGAGTTGGAAGCTTCGAGAGACCGTTCACCTATATAGGCGTTGACTTTTTCGGCCCGTTATTGGTGAACGTCGGCCGACGCAAAGAGAAGAGATGGGTAGCTCTGTTCACCTGATCGCCTACAGTCTAGATACTAGTTCATGTATCCTGTGCCTAGCCAATTTTATGGCCCTTCGAGGGACACTGAGGGAAATATTCTCAGACAACGGTACAAATTTCAGAGCCACGGAAAAAGCAGTGCGCGAGGAGCTGAAAAAGATCGAGCACGATAAGATCACTATTAAGTTCGACGGCATAAAGTGGCGATTCAACCCACCAGGAGCACCGCACATGGGTGGAGCATGGGAGAGACTCGTCAGGACAACGAAAGGAATCTTGAAGAACATTTGCCCAAGTTACTCTTTCAACGACGAGGGGTTGAGAAACGCACTGATGGAGGCGCAATTTATTATCAACTCGCGACCTCTCACGTTCGTAAGTTTGGATTCCGAGGATGACGCTGCCCTGACTCCAAACCGCTTGCTGCTAGGATCAGCGAACGGATACAAGCCGCTGCCAAAAGAGGGAATGAATCTGAAGCGTAGATGGAACGAGACTCAGCGCTTCGGAGACCGCTTCTGGCAACGATGGGTTAAGGAGTATGCACCCGTATTAACCAGGCGCACCAAATGGTTCGAGAAGGTACCTCCAATCACCATCGGAAGCATCGTCGTAGTCGTGAATGAGCTTCTTCCCAGGAACCTGTGGCTAAAAGGACGCGTGACTGACGCAATGATGGCCAACGATGGATAAGTTCGGCGGGTGACAATCAAGACGCAGCATGGTGCTATAGAAAGACCAGCAACAAAGGTAGCAGTTCTGGACGTCGGCTTGGAGGATGGTAACTGACCACGGATCGGGATCAATTACGGGGGAGGGAATGTTACCGCCGTAATAGAATTAAGTTTATATTTGAAAAATGAAATCGTTAAAATTAGTGTTGAATAATGTTAGAATAAGTTTTGAAAAACGCTAGACGTAAGCTTATCGATATACGATAAAATGGGGAAGAACGAAGCGTTTGCGATCGCTAGGTGGAGCTAACGAGGCGAGGGAAAACGACGAAGTTTTTTAGCTCGCGCGCCATGATTTGAGTTTAGATAAAGGAAAGAACAACCAAATCCATGTTTGCTTAAAAAATTGTGCACCCACCTCGCCCCGACCTCAACAGCAACCTCTTAAGTGTAATTGAAAAATAAAAAAATTTGTTTAAAAAAAAAACAAAATTTGAATAAAATTTGTGATAGGTTCTAATTATTGGGGCTTGTACTACGTATTTTGTAACGTGAAATGTTTCAAATTGTTAGGATGTGTTATACAAGTGAGGAAAAGTATTATATTGAAATAAAATCTCATTTTTGAAAAGGTGTATAAAGTTAGTCCAACCTAGTCCAACCCTAAAACCTATTGTATGTCGTAAAGTTATCCATTCTTATTTAATTGTATATAGTTTGAATAGCCACTTTCAACCACTTTTTTGGAATATGCATTTTTAGTTCATAACCTCAAATTCAGCAACTCAGAGTTGTTTGCCCTGTGGAAGTCTATCAAGAGCCAAGTATCCAGGAAGAATGCTATTGTCGAATTTTTTAAAACGGCAAATAACAGCAATATTTCAGAGGAAATTATTCAAGATTTTGAAGATTCTGGCAAGAAATTTTGTTATCGTTTGGCGACAAAATGGAAAAGTTGCACGCAAAATTATTTCAAAGCAGACATTCTGATTGGCTAAACACACAAACGTGTGTACTAGTTGACCAGAAAAATAATTCAGTGGGACGCCCTGCATTGACATATAGTCGAAAATCTCGCAGGGCGTAACCTAAATAGGTTGGCAGATCTTGTGATATCTCTTGTAAAGTAACAAAAAAAGATTAATTGAAACGACCAATTATATTAAAAGCCTTCGTGTTCAAAATGACCTCAAACTTAAAAAAAAAACAAAACAAAAAAATGGCGGTGCCACGCCCATTTTTCCACTTCCTATGGATTTTATTAATCCAATAAAAAATATTAAATCTAACAAGAAAGGAAAGCTGGTTAACAATATTGTTGTGACGAAATGAGGTCGTTCATGAGACAGACTAAGAATGGATTTAAGGAGTTGATCACTGGTTTTCGTAAAATCGATGACCAGCTCTGTGGGCTTGATACTCAGTTTTGCAGCCTTCAGCTGCTAAATGAGTCACCTAAGCGTAAGAAATCCGCTGTTTGTGATCGGTAACGCAGCCTCCCGTTAAAGTCACCCAACGGGGTATTCCACAGTCCGAACCACCGGCACCGACTGATGCTGCAGTTCTATTACACCAAAACCCTTACTGGTGATTCCTCCATTGAAAAATATATTTGTTTCTCGACTTTCCCCTGGTACTTCAGAGATTGATATCTCGGCTTGAAGCCAAAAAAAGCCGATATAAAGGTGGAGGACATAGCTAAATTTAAATAAAAGGCACACGTCGTCTTTCAAGATTCGCGAGTCCGCGCTGATGTTCAAGACAATTTTTTCACGATATCCAAAAACCTTAAATCATTTTGTCCACTAAATCTTTATACATTACATCTTATACTACATTATATTACATGTAGCTGCCACATAACTGAACGATCGGAAATGGTTTTTGGTAGAAATATCAACTTTGGTATTTTTGAAGATAGAAGCTTGGGACGTTTTTTTTAGATATTTTATTGTAATTAATTGGTTTTATTATGATATTTTTATAAGGATCGACCAACTATATCCGATATTTGCGATTTATATTCGGTTTTAACTGCAAGAGTATATCAACTTCGGCTCCGCCCTAATTAAGCTTTTCTTTCTTGTTTAGTTTTAAAGTCAGTTTAATTAGGTGTTAAGATACAGTTTAAATAATTGTTAAGTGCATAGTTAAATAATTTCTGTTTAATTCAACAATTAAGTCAACGTTTTTTAGATGATACAATTTGATTGTATTTTGCATTGATGGTGAAAGTTATCCAACCCTCTTATGGCATTTATAAACAATTTTCCAAATTCAATCTCAGCTATCATTGCATTAGCCCTTGCCATTGCCTATGCCTTTGGCTTTGATGTCCGCTCTTGGAGCCCTATCCGAAATAAACAAATCAAACTTAAAGTAAACATCAGCTTCCGTTCGAAGCCCAGTCAATTGCGCTTTCCCCAGAAATTGCGCCTTCCCTATTTCAAGCCCCAAATAAACTGTATTGGTCAGCATAAATAAATTTCACTATAGGATGCGACACTTACATCATTAGCTAATATTTGAAACAAATAGAAACTTCTTGAAGTTCGAGAAAAGCTTTTGGCCGATGTTCTTTGGATCAGATTTAAGATTTGGCAGTAAGTAATATTTTAACCCGAGCCGAGATCAGTTTCGAAATTAAAAGTTAAGAGTAATCTTGAGTAAAGAATATTTCTAATAAAGGTTTATCATTAAATAATATTGAAAATAAAAAAATATTTTTTTTCAAAATGTTTTCGGAAAATAATAAACTTGCATATCTTAGAGGGAATAGGTGGCACTTAAGCCAAGATGTAACTGCTAAATCAAAGCGGAATATTGAAAGTGTATTAAGATATTCCACCGCTAAATGTATTTAATCATTAAGCAAAAGAGTTTTTGAGCAAAAGAGATTTTTGTGGCATCCCTGCTTATGTACAAAGTTATATTGTAAAGATTTTTAAAGTAGCATCATTCTTTAAAATAGTAATATTTAAAAAAATAAATTAATTTTTCTTACCACTTAATTTTGTTTAAAAATATTTCATAACGTTCATCGGGACTCAACCATCTTGATTTTGATGTTTTTGCTATTTGAGCATCAGAAACAGATTGCGTTTTGAACATTTTTGTTTTTTTAGTAAATATGTTTTCTTTGGTGCAGATAATTTTTACTTCGTCGTGAATTATTTTACAACTATTCAATATTTTTGTTTTTTCATTTTTTCTGTCTGTTTCAAAGATACAGATTGGATCATTTTCGGTTGACTCAATAGTCTTAGTCCAACTTAAGCTTTGATTTCCAATAAGCCAGCTAAGATTGGTCAGCTCTCGCTCTTCATCAGAAGCCTCCGATTCGTTTGTGTTATATTTTTTATTTGAATCGTCCCAATCTAATTTTGTTTGTATGTTTGCCATTATCTGTTTTGAAAAAACAATTAAAAAAAAACTTTTGTTAAGAAATGTAATAATTTAAATTAAATACTTTCGCAGATTTATTAAAAACATATGTAAAATTTTATCTGAAATTAGATTTGTTTTATAAGATTTATCATTAGTTTAATTTATTATCAATTTTGAGATTATTTATATTTTTTTTAAGTTTGGTCTTGAGGCAGCAGCATATATGTTTTCGACAGTGTTTTTCGAACACAAAACCAAGTGTTTCGACATCTTTGTCACGTATGAACATCATGTGACCACAAACGGTCCGTAGAAGTATGATAGTCTACGAAGGAGTCTACGAGGGCACCGAGGTTGTTGCGCTATCCGCAAGATCTACAACAATGAATTCGCCCTATATCTAAATTCTATGCGATACTTATTTTTTTTCCAGCATGACTTTTTGTAGTTTTGGCGGCAATACTCTTAACGCCTCTAAGTTCCAAATACACAAACAAAAATTCTCGGTAAATTTATTCATTTTGCCATTTTATGGATTTTATTATCACTGTGAATGGGAGTGTATGGGTGACAAACCGCAATCCTTAGCATGCGCAAGAAGGCATTATATACAGCCAAAGAATTAAAAATTTTCTTTGTGCGTCTGATTGAATGATATACCAATCGAAAGGTAATGCTTTCAAGGTCTTTCAGCTTGGGAGAAATTGGCGTAAAAGTAAAGGGATTTTGATTATTATTTTGAGCCAACTAATTTTTACTAGGAGGGACATTGGAGTCTTCAAACTAATATGTACAGAAACACATAACAGAAATATCTGTTTTTTTCAAATCTCGAAGACAAACGTTTTGTCTGATATTAGTTTGAACACACTGGCGTAAAAATTAACTCAAGGACGGCATAATGCCCTAAAACGAAAATCCTCCAAGCAGGAAGCAGAACGTTGTTCAGCAGGGCAACGACCGGAAACGAGAAAAGCCTTTAGACCGAAAATAAGGCCACCTACAAAAAAGACATCATAAAAGCGAAGAGCTTCCTTAATTGAGGCCAAGAATATGGCCTACGCGTCTGGTATATCCCACAGGCAAGCGACAACTCACTCGTTATATAAATGTGAAGACTTCCGTCCTATAACAGTATCTGAAAGACTGAATTCGGTAAAAACAAAAACAATAAATGTGCGTCAATTGTTTTAAAACCAACTACAAATCAAGGGAATGCCAACAAAGAAATTATTTCAAATATGACAAAAAACAGTATACCTTGTTACATCTAGAAACTACAAACCTTCAAGCTTCAGCAGTAGGTGCAGTAAGCAATAAAAATGACTACCTTTTTGGCACAGCAAAGGTAGCAGTCCAAGCAGGTAACGGGCAGGCAGCGAAGTTTCGAGCACTGCTGGATTCAGGATCGCAGATCAATTTGATCACCGAACGACTAGCATCAACGTTTTCGTTAAAACGCCACGAATTTTATACGCAAATTAATTGGGTGAATTCTTCCATTCATTTTTATACCCTTGCAGAGGGTATTATAATTTTGGACAAAAGTGTGCAACGCAGTGAAGGAAACATCTCCGACCCTATAAAGTATATATATTCTTGATCAGGATCACCTCCTTAGTTGATATGAGCATGTCCGGCTGTCCGTCTGTCTGTCCGTCTGTCTGTTTCTACGCAAACTAGTCTCTCAGTTTTAAAGCTATCGTCTTGAAGCTTTTCACACACCCTTCTTTCCTTTGCACGCAGTATATAAGTTGGAACGGCCCGGATCGGCTGACTATATCCTATAGCTGCCATATAACTGATTGATCGGAAATGGTATAACTGCGGTGTTTTTTGAGTAAGAGAATTCAAATTTTACATAAGAGCTATTTTTGGCATGCCAATTTTCATAAGGATCGGCCGACTATATCCTATAGCTGCCATATAACTGAACCATCGGAAATGGTTTTTGATAGAAATAGCAACTTTGGCATGTTTGAAGATAGAAGTTTGGGACTTTTTTTTTGATTTTGTATTGTAATAAATTGGATTATATATTCATATTCCCATAAGGATCGGCCAACTATATCCGATGTTTGCGATATATATCCGGTTTTACCTGCAAGGGTATATCAACTTCGGTTCCGCACGAAGTTAGCTTTCCTTTCTTGTTAGATTTTGTATTGTAATAAATTGGATTATATATTCATATTCCCATAAGAATCGGCCAACTATATCCGATGTTTGCGATATATATCCGGTTTTACGTGCAAAGGTATATCAACTTCGGCTCCGCCCAAAGTTAGCTTTCCTTTCCTGTTTTTTTGTATTTTGTTTTGAAAAATAAATTTTCTTCTAACAGTAGCTCATCATCTGATGAGAAATCCATTGCGACTAACAGCATAAAACTGCAACAAATTCGTCTTGCACTATGCAGCCTATTAGCTTGCTCGCAACTGATGCAATTCGTCTTCTGCTTCATCTTGAGCTTTGTCTTCGTCTCAGCGCGTACTATGTTTGCAGCCTTAGCGTTGGGAAAGAAACTGACGCATTTATTTTTGAAAATTGGACACCCTGGACAGTCGAACGGAAAATCGATCTCAGTCAGAAACACATTGTGAGAAACACTTTGTAAAAACCCTGAAAAGAGCAGCCGAAGGTTTGTTGTAAAGCTAAATTTGCAGAATTCAGCCCTAGAGGAGTCGAGAGACATTGCAATCAAAGGGTTTTAAGCGTCGATTGTCTGGTGACGTTCGGAAGGGCTATTCTTCATGGAAAAATACGAAACTTTGGGACATATGAAACTGGTCATATAAAGCCATATACCCAATGATCATTATTAGTAGCAAGGATTAGCCATGGCACCAAACTGTTGACATAGAAAAGATGTGCTTTTAAATTTGGATCAACCCGGATGATCAATTTAATAAACTCATAATTTGGCGAAAAAATCCGCCGGATGACCTCAGACTCCACCGGCTTTAAACAGTGACCTACGGCCCATTCTTGGAAACAAAATGCTTTAATTATCTAGCAATGTGGTCACGGGAATCCAAATCCAAATGCCTATGTTTCAGAACAAAGGGCTAGTTTTCGATATCAGAATTTATGTATTTCAAGTTCGTCGAAAATTTAAAATTTGTGTAGAATTTATTAAAAGTTTGGCTTCTTGTTATCTTTAAGGTATGTTTAAAAAAAAAAAACAATATTTGTGACCGGTCTATAAATGTGTAGCTCATAAAATGTAGTTGTAATTCAGTGTATTAACAACGAGTCAGGATTACCTTTCACCTGTCTTTCGTGTAGTGGAACTTACCTGATTCAAGTGGATTGAGTTTAATTCTTTTATTAGGCGAAAGTGTGAATCAGTAGCGTCCAAAATGGGTAATATGAGCTGCTATTACTTTCAAGCCTTCAAAGTAAGGTACTTTTAAGGGACAATGTCAGTAGCAAAAAGGGAATTTTTTTTATACTGACATTAGAGGTCATACCAACCGAGAAGTTTGTTTTACAAAAAACTTTGTATTTGGTACTGTCTTAAAAAACATTAAATATAGATATAGTCGACCGATCGTTATGAAATTTGGTAGGTCGGATAAACTGACATAAACTGAAAATATATTCTCTCTTCAAAGACACAATAGTTGGGTCATTTCCGATCGTTCAGTTATGTGGTAGCTATAGGATATAGGCCCGGCCGAACCGGGCCGTTCCGACTTATATACTGCGTGCAAAGGAAAGAAGGGTGTTTGCAAAGTTTCAAAACGATAGCTTTAAAACTGAGAGACTAGTTCGCGTAGAAACAGAGAGACAGACGGACAGACAGACAGACAGACAGACAGACGGACATGCTCATATCAACTCTGGAGGTGATCCTGATCAAGAATGTATACTTTATAGGGTCGGAGATGTCTCCTTCACTGCGTTGCCCACTTTTGGACAAAATTATAATACCCCATGCAAGGGTATAAAAATTTGCACGCCTTACTGAAAATGTCCCATCAGATGCATTGTTGGTAACTGGAAGCTGCAGCTTGTATAACATAGGAAAACGCATGGAATTTTTCAAAGAGAGCCGCCAAAGGTCAAAACTCCGATGTATATCCATGCTTCTATAAACTGCGTTTTGCGAAAAAATGGTATCCCAGTGTCACCACGGTCACTGATCATTTCGCCGAAGTAGCACTATAAAGCATAGTAAACCATATGATTGCTAGAATTATTGAAGCACACCCAGTAAGTTTTCCTAACCATATTAAAAAAAATAATAACACCCAATTAACTGCTACGTAAAACTGGGGCTGTAATGGCAGCAGCGGCCATTTTACATACAAGCAAAAATTTTATGACAATTTGTGTGGTACCGTTGACAGTGCAGACCTTGAAAATCAATCGACCTTCTTCTACTCGATATTGTCGATCCATAAAGATACTTTCCGAGAAAGAACCGACCGACTTGACTCGCAGAGAAAGGGAAAATATGAAAAGCCAAATATCAAATATTTTAGAAATATTAGTGGGTAGCTTTAGAATTGATCAAGAATTTCTAATGACCATGCTTGATGGCAAAGCGTACAGTGTCATATCCGAATCGCTTTGCAAAACATTATTTATTAAAAATAAAAACTTTTTTATTTTTGAAGGTAGAAGCTTGAGAATTTGTTTTAGAATTTTTATTCTTATAAATTGATTATATTATGATATTCTCGGTCATGATATAGGGTCGGCCAACTATATCCGATTTTTTTTTTTACATATCCGGTTTTAACTGCAAGGATATATTAACTGCGGCTCCGCCCAAAGTTAGCTTTCCTTTCTTGTTTTTATGATCACTTATTCACTATTACAATTTATTGATAGGTCGAACTTATTTAATAAAGTTTTCCCAATTTTTATTCTGCTCGGTTCGGATCTCAAAATCGGATTGATCTCTAGATCAATAATCAAACCTCGGCTTGAGAGATTTATCCAAAAAACTAATTAAGAGAATGACTCAAGGGAGTCGGAAAAAAGGATGATGCAATTTGTCAATTAAACTTGAAATCTGTAATTGGGGGGAAATTTATGTTTACGTTGGCGAGCATTACGGATCGCTTAGGGGATCTTTGTTGGGTTCAGTTGGAATCACTTAGCGGAAAGTGAACTGATATGGGTAGGAATACTTTGGAGGAGTACTTTACAGAAATAGCTGACCACGGATTTATCTCGGGTCTACTCGAGTTATTTGAAAATTAGTTCTTGGCTCAAAGATGTTTATAAATTGGGTAAAGGCCCTCGAGTAAGGTGTCATATAACTTGAACATGTAAGTTTAAAAATTTTGTGATTTAAAGTTTGTGCTTCTACTTGAAGTGTTTTTATACCCGATACTTGTAGGGTACAATATGGGGTACAATACCCAATTGTATTCGTGCATTCTATATTACATACATTCGTCAACATAGAGAAGGAATCATATCCGACCCCATAAAGTATATAAATTATTTGTCAGCATCAGCGTCGAGATAGCCATGCCCGTCTATTCTTATAAACGCGTGGATCTCAGAGACTATAAGAGAAAGAGCTATGGGATTTGGAATGGAGACTTTCACAATGTCCACACATTTCAAGTTTGTTTAAAAATTTGTTAAGTTATTTAAATTCTTCAACTTTAAAAAAATGCTTTTTGGCCAGAAAAATTTGCCAAATTTCCTATAGTGGTATGGCCGTAGGTTTGTTGTTATTGTTTTGCCCAAGTGGAATTATTTGCATTATTTGTTCCTGAGAATCCATCCATAAAGTTTAAACTATAAGTTACCACCTAACTCACTTACTATAGGTAAGTTAAATTGTGGGTGGAAGATATTATACCGGGTATAATATAGTCGGGAAACTCGGCTACGATACTGGATATTCGGCGGACGGAATTTGATGCGCAAAATCACGCGCAACTGCTTGGCGTGCTTTCGGCAGAGGCAACACGCAACGCATCATCGTATGGCAGATCTACCGCCGTACGCATCACGCAAGCACTCGGAAACTCGGCTATAGCCGGCCTTTCCTATTTTTACCTAAAGTGTGGTTAGAACAGAAGAGTACCGGATATAATATAGTCTGAGCTCCACTATAGCATGGTATCTGAAACTGTGGAAAGTTGTCTAAATAAGCCACATGTTTCAATTCAAACTTAAAAGCCAGAGTTATTGAAATAGTGTTTTGAGTTGATTGGGCCCAATAGTCCGAGAGGGTCAAATATCCGCGAGATATCTGACAGCACTTGCCTCTTTTTGCAGCTTGGACTCTTTGTTAGATTCACAGCGCACGACAATGTGTCCTTCTTTGGGTGCCAATGCAGCCCTACAACCTTGACCAATGATTGTAAGGAATCATTATTATCCTCCGACTCAATATATTTGCTATTCGATACCGAGATCTATGTGGTAAGTATAAATTCCTCGTGTTGAAAATTTTGGTCGATGAGATTTCTCGCATGTGTCCCAGATTTTGGCTACGTGACTAATAGTCATCGTTGAAATGTGTGCGTTAGGATAATCCTGATTCTCATCAGTTTAAGCGAGATGACAGTGATAGTGAATGATGCTAACCTTTACATTGTCCGCACTTGACCGCCGATTGGCATTTTCTGACTCCACGACCAGATTTCAGATAATTGTAACAGAGAGAGTTTAACTTGGCAAGCAAGATTCTCTGTCCTGCAGACATACCCAAGAATTGTGGAAATCCATGCAGACGATGTTTCCTTCAAGCGCTACCAACGAGTGTATGACCTTCTTTGCTTTCCACCAATAGAGGTTGCTTTCTTGCCCCAGTTGTTTGGCGTTTGTTAAGCTCCAGCCCCTCGCAACGTTTCTTCATTCGATCAAATTCGCCTTGTTATTAATTGTGCTCTAGTAAATGTCTTTGAAAGCTGGCCACTCCACGGAATTGCCACCGTGGCAATTGAACTGAACTTTTTTCCTTTGAGCTAACGCCTCTACTATTGGTACCATACCTGAACTCACCGCACTGACGCCACTGCAGGCCTCGTCAAGTTTTCAGTAACTCAATCTGCTTGAACTGCTCGATTATTGCGTCGTTATCAATTTTTAAGCCGCCGCTGCCGTTCTAGCTGTTCACAATGGATGGGCTATGTCTTGTACCTCCTATCGCAGAAAGTAATGCAGGCGCTCGTAGATATTTTTCGTCGTAAATAGGCTGTGAATTCACAAAGCATTCTTCTTTGTCTATAATGGCTATTTCATTACCAAATCGATTTAATTCTTTTCATGTTGTGTTGAGATCCTCCAGCCTCCGCCGATTTTGCGTCCGATTGGTGGGTGTCCTTAGCCCAAGCCAAGCTTCCCTTGACATTGGCCTTGAGTCTGGCGCGCCCTTGAAAAACCATTACGCCTGTGAGAACCACAGAAACGCACAGAAATCAACAAAAACATCCAGCTCGAAGGACCAAACAATGATCCTAAAGCAGTAGAGTCTTTTTAGTCGACTGCATGTTTTTATTGTTCTTGTCCTTATGCATAGTGTGTATACGTTGAAAGTGAATCTTAGGTCTAATGAGTATAGAAAATATAAAGATGGCTATTTAGCCAAAACCTAAATACTAATCGATAATTCGTGAAAAAAGCAATGGTTTCAAGGTTGAACCAAGTGCAGTTTCCAGAAAAGAAAGATTGCATAACGTGTATGAAATGTAAGTTTCATTCTCGACCTTTACTAGCTACATCGGAGAACAGATCCTAGGATATTCTTGATCTTATACATACAAATGTATGTGGACCGTATTTTTTGACTCTCATAGATGATTTGTCGAAGCGGATTTTCACATATTTTCTGAAGTCAAAGGGCGAAGAAATTAACAATTTTGTACAGTTCATAGTGGCAAACAGTAGAACTCTTAATGAACATGAAATTAATTATTCAGTAATAGAAAAAGAGCTTCTGGCTATAGTCTGGGCCACTAAATATTTTAGGTCTTATCTCTTTGGTAGAAAATTTGAAATTCTAAGCGATCATAGACCATTAGTTTGGCTTCATAATATAAAAGAACCAAATATGAAACTACACAGATGGAGAATAAAATTAAACGAGTTTGACTTCACTACTAAATATTTGCCGGGAAAGGAAAACCAGGTAGCTGAAACCAGGTAACTCTGTCAAGAGTAGATGAAAATTTTTTAGAAGAATCACCGGATAGTACCCCATCATTACCCACAATAGCAACAGTACATAGTGCACAAGAAGACAATCAGAATTATATAGAAATAACGGAAAGACCTTTAAACTATTACAATAGACTAATTGAATTTCATAGAGGAAATTCAAATGAAGTTAAATTGACTCAATACTTTCAAAAAACTAACCTAAAATAATAATGTAAATCAATCCAATCCAAGCAAA